GTTACAGGATGTTACATTACATGTTCTCCTATGTCCTAAGTCCTCACTGACCTTGAAAGGCTAGGGCCAAAATGTTGGCAGTCCTTGTAGCCCTCTTTTTCTCTTATTTTTGGTCTGCAAACTCTTAAGTTGTTAACCTTCCAGAACAGAAGCTTAATGATACTGTTACCCTATAACAAGCAACTAGTTGAGATGAACCTATCTGTCTGAATATCAAACATTCTTTTTTCTTAAATATATTGAAATGGACATGGCAAAAGAGATATATCAGAGAAGTAAAACCTACTTAATTCATCTTGTTTTCACCAAGTACTTTTTAAAAAATATATTAGCTCTGTATGCCAGAGAACAAGATGGAACAAAATGGAAAGTTTTTTATAAGGAAAGATACAGGAATGTTCTTATTATTGCTTTGGAACTAAAATAGTAGGTCATTTTACTGAATATATAAGTTCCTGAAGATTTCGAGTACTGTCAGAACTTCACTTCTTAAAACTTCAAGAATCAATGATAGTGAAATTTTTACAGTTTTAGAAATTGGCATAGGCCTATAATACCAGAACTCTTGAGGCTGAGAAAAAAAGGATCAGCAGGAGTTTGAGGCCAGCTTGGGTTATTTAAGCAAGTTTAAGGCCAGCCTATATTACATAATGAAACCCTGTCTGAAAAACAAAAACAAAACAAAACAAAAAAATCAAGCAAACAAACAAAAGGAAGATTTCTGCCTACTTTGTTTTCTGGTAGATTTAGTGTTTCTGTTTTAATATTTAATCCATTTTGACTTTAGTACGTGGTGATAGACCTGGATCTAGTTTTACTTTTTGACTTTTTTTTTTTTTTTTTTCGGAACTGGGGATTGAACTCAGGGCCTTGAGCTTTCCAGGCAAGCACTTATTCTACTGAGCCATTGCCTGGCCCCACTTTTTGACATTTAAAAGCCATTTTTTCCAGTTCCATTTATGAAGAGACTATTTTTTTCCAGTGAACGTATTTGGCCCCTTTGTCAAAGATAAAGCAGGTGAGTGTATTTGTAGTTGTGTTTGCATCTTTTGATCTGTTCCATTGATCTTCAGGTCTGGTTTTTTGTTTTTTTTTTTTTTTTGTTTTGCCAGAACCATGCTGATTTTATCAAAGTAGCTTTGTAGTATAATTTTTTAAGTCAGGAAATGTGATGCTTCCTACCTTGCCTTTATTGGCCAGGATTGCCTTTACTATTTATGGTCTTTTCTGGTTCCAAATGAATTTTTAAGAATATTTTCCATAGATCTGTGAGGTATAATGTTATATTTTGATCAGGATTGCATTAGATCAGTATAATAGTAAATGCAAAGAAACTGCCCAAAAGGAAAGAACAACTTGGAGGAAAGAAAAGAGAAAAGAAGGAAAGGGAAAGAAGGATAATGTATATATATACAAGGCAGCTGAGATAATTATACTACTAATTTCTGTTAGTTCATTGAAAGGAGCAGTTAGTACTTATAGTGTTTGAGCAATTTTGCATGCCTATACCGGCAAATCTGAACAACTACTTTGAAGTACAATAACCATTATTGATTTCGTATCATCTTGTTTTGAAATTCTGTATCATTTTTATTGCCTTTTTTTTTTGTCTCTTTAAAAACAGTAAAGGAGGGGGCTGAGAAGATAACTCAGTAGAATAAGCACTTACTTGGCAAGTGCAGGGTCCTGAGTTCAATCCCTGGTACCACAGAAAAAAATAAATAAATAAAAACAATAATGGAAAGAAATTGGCACATTCTTTGTTTTGTATATTTATAGTCATGTATCTTGGCCAGAGATGTTGGGAAAATTACTTATTTAGTAGCAGTCATTTGCATATTCTCAAAAGAAAACAAATAGGTATAATGAAGTGCATCTATAATTTCATTGGCAACAAGAATTGTGGCTGCCTTGTTTTCAGCTGTACCTTAGCATCTAGCACATGCTCAGTACTAATATGTCTTCAATACAAATTTCTCATATTAATAATTTATTCTACCAAATAGTAAAACTTTTAAAGTATGTAGAGCAAGATGGAATTAGTGAAAGACATGTGGATTATTAGAACTGAATATTAAGTATAGATGAAATTGCTGGTCTGTTTAAGATGTTTGTAGCCCTTTTTGTTTCAGGATGGGAAAGATTATACTGTGCCTTTGAGTAGCTCCAGGTTAAGAAAGATGTGGATAAGGTAATTTTATTCTTAATGGTGTTAGATGATAATGTACTTGGTTGCTAGAGATACCTTAATAAAGCACCAGAAAGTGAGTTTCTAAAATGAAGAGACTTTTTGTTTTCACATTTCTGGAAGATCAGGGTCAAAGTGTTGGCAGGTCTGGTTTCTTCTGAGACTTCTTTCTTGAACTTGTAGATGAGAATCTTCTGTGTCTTCCTCTGTACCTGATTATGTCCAGGTTACTTCTTAGAAGGACACCCAGCACATTGGATACAGTCTATTCTAAAGAACTCACTTTAACTTTAAGACAATATCTTGGGCCCAGAAGATGGCTCAGTAGAATAAGCGCTTGCTTGGCAAGTGCAAGGGCCTGAGTTCAATCCCCAGTTTCACACACAAAAAAGACAGTATCTCCAAATAGAGTCATATTCTAAGGTATTAATATTTCTTCAGTTTGAGTTTTTAAAAGGACATAATACAGCCACTAACAGATGATATTAAATATTTATTTTTAATGTTTTAAATTTTATAACATTGTGTTAGACTCCTTAGATATACCTGCTAAACTACTTAGAGACAAAAATACAGTCTTAAATTCCTTCATAGTAATCCTGAAGACTTTGGGCAGTGAGAGGGGCATAGAAGATCAACCATTTGTTAGAAATGTTTAAACCTGAGAATGGACATATGGGGTTTCACTGTACTGTTTCATCAATTTGGATTTAATATTTCCAGTAATAAAGAAAATTTAATGGCTTTATTGAATTTGAAGATTCTTTAAATAGCAGCTGTCATAAGGCATATTTTCACATTTTCATTTTTACCATAAAACCTTTATTTATTTTTTTAATGTATTTAGTACAAGCTGTCACTACGCAGATTAGACTTGTAGTGATCTTTCCTGTTTTTCAGCCTCCCGAGTGCTGGGGTTACAGGCGCACACCACGCCGGGTCTCATTCACCAGCTCAGCACACCCTGAGGGCGGGGCCAGCACAGCTGGCCTGGGGTAGAACCCCCGGTCCCTGCATCTACCTAAGCAGGCGCTTCAATCCTCTGAACTATTTGGTCAGCCCAGAAGACCTTCATTTTAATCATTGACTTACCTTATATGAAGTTTGGTAGCAATTTGAATCTATAAAAAATATATAATGAAGCTAGGTGAAGTGGCACACACCTGTGATACCAGCACTTTGAGGCAGAAGGTTCTCAAATTCAAACCTAGCCAAACTCTGGCTTAAAAGTGAAAAATAAGAAAAGGACTGGAGGTGTAGCACAGTACATAAGCTTTGGGTTCAGTATCCAGTATCACTAAAAAGAAAACAAACAAAATAATGAACAGAATATCACTTTTATTTGTTTATATCATAAACTTCATATAAACTTTTATGTGAATAAAAGTTGTGATAATAACAGTTTTTGAAAATTTATAGACCTTATTGTATTTCTGTGGAAACTTTTCTTCCATTACAAATGTAGTGTTTAATATTTATGTTTTAGCTTTGTATAAAATTATAAGGACTGTATTTAGTTATTTACTCTAAGTCTAGCCCTGAATTGGAGCCATGATTTTATATTACACATTCAACCTTTAGAAAGCATTGTGTAATTTTTACCATGGATTAGACAAAGTCCATGATGGAGTAATGAATATTACACAAAATACATCAGAAGAGGGGTTGGGGAGATAGTTCAGTAGAATAAGCACTTGCCTGGCAAGCGCAAGGGCCTGAGTTCAATCCCTGGTTCTGCCAAAAAAAAAAAAAAAAAAAAAAAAAAAAAGTTGAAACACATCAGAAGAATGGTGACAAAATATGTTTAGACTCTTAACAGTGTGACTGTGCCTAAAATTTCTTGGAAATAGTAATTCACTAATGCAAGAAGATTCACAGATTAATGGAAACTTGTGTTTCAATCAGAATAGTAGCATTGATCTTCGAGGTGATAACTATCTGAGACTATCAACCCAGTCATTTTATAGTATGAGTTCCTGAGAAATGAAATAATTTTTTTGGGACATACTAGTTTAGTGATAAGGTAGAATTCCTGTCATTCAAGATACTTTCTGAGGACTACTCTCTTGGGGCCCCCCTCCTGTCCCTCTCTCAGACAGGAGCTTTCTTTCCCCTAATAAACATATTCTGCTCATAAAAAAGATACTTTCTAATGACCATCCTTAATTATGGAAAATATGTAAGAATCAGCAGAAAAATTATGTAGTGAGTTTCCTTCTGATTATATGCTTTACTTTGCTTACTCTTTTGCCTCCAACATATTGCAGAGTTTTTTCAAAATAAAAACTAGGGGCCAGGGAGATAGCTCAGTAGAATAAGCACTTGCCTGGCAAGCATAAGGGACTGAGTTCAATCCCTGGTTCCGCAAAAATAAAAAAATAAAAAAATAAATAGACAGTTACTTAATCAGATGTAGTATTATTTTATGTGTTGATATAAATTGTGTATATTGACAGTTTGTATGAATATAAACTCATACTAAGTGATGTATATTGATTTAGGAGACCAGCAATATGTGCATCACAGAGTAGCTAGTATCTTGTAACTAATTCTGTTTTTTCTGTAAATGTATTATAGTTGAATCTTCTTGTCATAATGGAGATGAAACAATTGAAACTATTGAGGCTGCTGAGGCACTGCTTAATATGGATTCTCCTGGCCCTATGTTGGATGAAAAACGAATAAGTGAGTGGTTTGATTGTTCATTTTTTGTATTTCATGAAATTTTTATCATTCTATTAACTGGTAAATAGCTAGATATCAGGGACCATATTTGATAAATGTCTTAAACACATTTTAGGGTACAGTATTTTTGAGACACCTTTGCGAAAGACTTCAGTTAAAGAAGACTTAGACTAACTTGGAGGAATGAAGCCTTTAGAAACAAAAGTGATTTATAAGTTATCAAATAGTAGATTATACATAATTTCCCCTTAATCTCTGGTGAAACTATTATGCATCATTTTCTCTGTTAATCTCTTTGATGAGCTCATATCATTATAGTTTACTCATCTCTATAGATAACAATAAGTGGATTGGCATATTCTTTAAATATTTTGCTAACTCTTGGCATAAATTTCATTGCCACGGTATTGATCCATTTTGAAATTGTGTTTTCTTTGGATTTTTTCTGACAAAGAATAAGTCTTATAAAATTTTTACTAATTCAATTCAGGATATTTATGAATATTTGCTGTATTCATTACAGCAGTGCAATAGACAATAATATTAAATATAAGCAAATATTCCTTTTTCCAATCTCATAGTAAGTTTATTTACCTGCAGTGCTGGGGATTTAAAAAAATTATTAATTTTTTTAAATTTATGTATTTGGTACAGGGTATTACTACACAACTTGGACTTGTAGTAATCCTCCTGTTTTCATCCTCCCCAGCACTAGGATTACAGGTGTATGCCACCATGCCTGGACTCAGTCTCTGGATCAGTTGCATCTATTTACCGATAAATATAGCTGAATAATATTCCATTGTGTAAAAATACCACATCTTCCTTATCCATTTCTCAGTTGATGGGTGTTTGGGTTGCTACCAAGATTTAGCTATGACAAATTGCGCTGCTATAAACATAGGTTTACATAAATCATGGTGGTGTGATGTTTTTGGTTCTTCTGGAAAAATACCCAGGAGGGGGAAAGCTGAGTTGAATGGGATCTCTAACCCTAGCTTTTTGAGGAATCTCCACAATAATTTCCATAGTGGTTGTACCAGTCTACACTCCCACCAACAGTAGAGAAGAGTTCCTTTTTCCCCACAGCCCCTCTAGCATTTCTTATTGGTTGATGTCTTGATGATAACCATTCTCTCTAATGTGAGATGGAATCACAGTTGTTTTGTTTTGTTTTGCATACAGGGTCTCGTTACACGGTTTGGACTCATAGTGATGATCCTCCTGTCTTAGCCTCCACAGTTCTGGGATTACAGGCGTGTGCCACAACACCCAGCTTCAGGGCCAGCATGATGCTAAATATTTTTCGTATATTTATTTGTCATTTATATTTCTTCATCTGAGAAGTGCATATGGGTCTCAGATGCCCATTTTTAGATTGGGGTCTTTGAATTTTGGAGGCCTGATTTTTAAAAATTTTTTGTATGTGCTGGATAGAAAGCCTTTGTCAGAGGGGCAGTTGGCTATCGTTTTTTTTTTTCCCAGTTTGTGGGTTTTCTTTTTACTTTGTTAGTGATTTCCTTTGATGATGCAAAAACTTTTCAAAAAGATGAGATCCCAGTTGTTAATTCTTTCAAGTGCTTCCTATGCAATTTCTTTGTTTGTTTGTTTTTTTCATGAACTCTATAACTACCACTATGCCTTAAAGATTTCTATCTACTTGTTTCCTCCAGGAGATTTAGTGTTTCAGATTTAATATTTAAATCTTTGAATGTAGTTTAGTGCATGGTAGTAGACATGGGTCTAATTTTAGCCAGATTTTCCAGTAATCCTGGGGATTTAACATGGGGCCTTTGCTGAGAATATTCCCAGTCCTTTAGAAAAATTTTAATTTTGGAGACAGGGTATTCTTGCTAAGTTGCTAGTTATAATTCAGGTTTTTTTGTTTTTTTTTGTAAGTAATTGTAAAAGCTAAAAATAGAGGCCAGGAGAGTGATAACAGAGTTTTCTGGAAGCAGTGAATAGTGTAGCAGAAAATATCAGAGACAAACTTTATTGAGATAATATTTAGGGTGGGGGCATTTATTTTGCAGGCTGGAAATTTCATTGAGGGCCTCATACATAGTAGTATCCACACTCTACCACTGAACTGTATCTCCAGACTTGACTTTTCTCCCCTCCCCTCCTCTAGTCTCTCCTCTCCTGCCTGCCCTTCTCTCCCCTCCCGTCCCTTCCTCTCTCTTCCTGAGTCAGGGTCTCACTAAATTGCCTAGGTTTGCCTTAGATTTGAAATCCTCTTGCCTCAGCCTTCTGAATAGCTGAGATTACCAATATGTGCCACCATACCTGGCTTGATGGGATATAACCTGGGTTGCAAGTGATGAACTTAATAGGTGGAGGAGATATGGGAAGAACAGTTAAGCTGGAAGTTAACTAGATATGGGAAGAACAGTTAAGCTGGAAGTTAACTAGAGCCAGAGACAGACCTTTAAAATTTTTTTCAAAGATAATTGTTTTGATACAACTAAAATGGAAGCTTCCTAGTAGGTAGGAGATGAGATTGTAAAGATTTGGTTTAGATTATGAAGATTTTGAAAACTGCACTATGGAGTTTGAGTTGTTCTTTTTTTTTTCTACAGCAGATTTTAAAAAGCTATACTTTTCCTATAATTTTTAGTTTTGATTTTTAGGATGTAAAGCTTTTGCATAGAAGAATAACATAGTCAGATTAGATTTAGGTTTTAGAAGATAAATCTTAACACAAGGAGGAAAGAAAACATAGACTGGTGATAGGAATTCAAGTAAGAAAACCATTGAAATAGTTGAGTCAAACTTGACATGATTGATTGATTTTCTATACTTTAGGAAAGGGTCTACAGGGTGTTCAGGGTCTTACTACTAGATCAGACTCATAGTGATTTTCCTGTTTACAGCCTCCCAAGTGCTGGGATTACAGGTCCGTGTCACCATGCCCAGTCTCAAGCGCCATTGCATGGCAGGCTATGTCTGCTCATAGGTGCTTTAATCTGCTGAGCTATTTGGCCGGCTCTAAACTTGACATGATTTAGAGAAGAAGAAATAAAGAGAATAGGGCCAGCAAGATAGCTCAGCAGACTAGGTACCTAAGCCAGCACAGGAACTGGGGTTCAATCCCCAACACCACATGCTGCAGTGGCCGTGTCCCCGGGTCATTGAGCTAGCCATGGAGATTGGGCGTGGTACTGCATACCGGTAATCCCAGTGCTGGGGAGACTGAAAGTGGGAGGATCACTGCAAGTCTGAGATGCATAGTGAGACCCTGTACCAAATACATTAAAAAAAAAAAATCAGAGAATAGATTTTAAGATTTTTATTTCTACTTTAATCTTCATAGGAATAGGAAATGATTTTATTAACTTAGTTTGGTTTATAATACACAGCTGACTATATTTATTTGATTTTATTTCCATTAGAAAATAATACATTTAGTTCATCTGAAGATGACATTATTATTGCTCCAGTCACCCATGTATCTGTCACATTAGATGGGATTCCTGAAGTGATAGAAACTCAGCAGGCACAAGAAACATATGCTGACTCACCAGGAGCCTCCTCACCAGGGCAGCCTAAAAGAAAGAAAGGTGGGTGGTTAATTTCTGTAGAGCATAGTCAAGTATTTGATGTGAAATCTAAACATAATTTTTATTCAGTGGTATAATTTTTTTTAAGTTTGTTTAGAAGTCACTTTATTTTTTAAAATAATTTTATTGAGAAAGAAGTAGCAGTGATACAGTTTCAAAACAGGTTAGTAGGACAGTTACAATAATTAATACATTGCATATTGTTGTCTTTGTAGTAGTCATTTATAGTACAAGATGCAGACATGATATCTTGTCTAAACACTTAGATCAAAGCTTTCTTTTCATTTAACTAAGAGAAAGTAGCTGTACATCTATGCTATTTTGTGTATATACATTTCACTACAAAGTGGACTTTCATTTATATCCCCCTTTTTTATTTACTTTTGTCAGAGATGTATATTCCATTGCCATTCATATATTGTAGGTGCATGAATTCAGCAAAGTAATCTAATGTAGTTCAATAGTCTATAACAGTAGTGGGTTATCCGCATGACTGGCAATGTCAGAAGTTGTCAGTGCTATAATTTTACACTAATTAAAACAGGTAAGAAAACTTTAGGGCAAAAAATTAA